CAGTTTGGGGGGGCATGTTAAGCTCAGGAAAGGAATTTATAAGAGGGTGAAAAAAAAGAAATCCCATTATATTTCTGATACTTGTACACAGTCTACTTATCCATGGTATGTCACCCCATTTTAAATCCTGTTTGATAGAAAAAAATCATTGCATATTGATGAGAGAAGAAATAAGTCATTATCACCTTGCATGTTCCATATTTTTGAGGTATTTTATTTTGATGAAGATGGTTCAAAATCTGTGATGAGAGTAGGGATTTTCAGTAATAAAAAAACCTTTGTTGATTGCCAGAGGACTTTAGCTTTGGAATTTTGGGGGAAGTTACTTCTGAGCTAAGATTGTAGGCTAGATCCCATTCCCTGGAAAGCTGTTGACTTCAGTGGGGGTTTTCTAAGGGAAAGGCAGTCAGTCGTAGTGTGCTTTCCTTATTCACTGCAAAACCTTTCTGAGACTGTTGAGAAATAATGATAAGAAGTCAATCCTGCTTTTGAAAATGTTATTTATTTTGCTTAAAAAGAAAAAAGTCTGAATGACTGTGCCATGTTTGTGCTGTGGCCCCAGCCGAGCAATTAGATTCGTGCAGAAGAATTGCACATCTCTCTGAATCCAATTGCAGGTCTGGGGCCTGTCCATGTATATGACCATAAACCATAAAGCTGACATTTTTTTTTTTTCTCTTTAGAAAGACTAGACTGTTATTTTGCATGAATTTAAGCTTTCCTGGGTTAACTTAATGTTTCAGAATTGACTTAATTCCACAATCTTCCCACCTTCTGTTAAAACAATGTGGCTCAGAGAATTATTAGACACAAATAGATATTTTCTTTTGCTCCATCAACAAAATGTAGCTAATGAGGCATCTATAAGGATTATCAAAAATGCATCTAGATTGTGTTGGCATTAATATTTTATTTTGCTGTCAATATGCAATAAAGGATGTCATCCCAAATTCACAACATGATTCAGAATTACAAAAATTGATTCCTTGGTTGCCACAGATAATTTCTTAGCAAAGAAATGGACTGGTGGATTTTATTGCAGGTAGCTGAAATTCCACTTTCATCCGAGTTCATCCAGTTGAATTTGCCTTTTGTTAAAGATGTTAAAAATCATGATGTCTCATGTCAGTAATGATAATGAAGGGGAAGATTGGCTTTAATGACATTAGAAGAGTCATTATGTTTAATTTATTGCTAATTAATGCTGCCAGCTTTCATATGCTTTGTCTAGCTGTCATGTGCTTGTTATATGCCTTTTTTTTTTTTTTAATGTGTGTACACATCCCTCCCCATTCATTCATTTTTATTCTGACGATTTACACAGCTTTCTCTCCTCTAGGTTTCCTCCACACATGGTCCCGCCACACCATAGTTTACATACAACTGGAATCCCTCATCCGGCCATAGTCACACCAACAGTCAAACAGGAATCTTCCCAGAGTGACGTCGGCTCACTCCACAGCTCGTAAGTTGTTGTTTCTTATGCCTTCTTTGCAGAGCAACTAAAGCATCACCTGTGCATGTGCGGCTTTTAAAAAGGCTTGGATTTGTGGGAATGTTTTTGCTGTAAAATATTTTTTAAATTGCTTTTTCTCTTTTGTTCTAATTGATTGGAACATGGTTTAATTACCAAAGCGTGTCAAAATAATGGTAACAGCTTTCATTCTGTGATGTAGGCAAGTAGTTATTAATTTCACCCATTTTTAAAACGAAGTGGGGTTTTCTTGATCAAGATTCAAGCTTCTTACCCAGTTTCCCTGTTACTCAGTGCCTGGATTGAAGCCGTGAGATACTGGATACAGAACAGGAGGCAATAAATTAGGGCATAAATGGCTTGTTCAGAGCTGCAGAGAGAGTTGGTATCAAGTTTGGGTTTAAACCAAGGGGAGCCCTGGTCTACCTCTGCCCCTAGTGCTTCTGGTGCTTCTTGCCTTTCCTTTTGCAGGGGATGCAGAAAGCATTTTGGTTCCCCTTGATGATGGGGTATAATTGTTTCCTCTACCATCGTTCTCGTAAGCTCTCCCCATGAACCGATTTCCCTTGGTGCCCATGTCCTTCCAAGGTTCTTCTAGGGGCTGGGAGGGTACTTGGTGATACTGTGTAAACATGAGATGGGTTTTCTTATAATGCTCTTAAAACTCTTCTCATACAGCAGCCAGGGTGAAGGCTCTGGAGAACCTTCTGGTCGTCCTCGTAGAGATTTCTGAGGATTAATGCTAGGGAGATTGAGGGGATTAATCTAATAAATTCACAAGGCTTCTCACTGTGAGGTGTCTGTCTTTTGTATCTTTACCCTTCAGAAAACATCAGGACTCCAAAAAAGAAGAAGAGAAAAAGAAGCCACACATAAAGAAACCTCTTAATGCATTTATGTTGTATATGAAGGAAATGAGAGCAAAAGTTGTAGCAGAATGCACATTGAAAGAGAGCGCAGCCATCAACCAGATCCTCGGCCGAAGGGTAGGTAACGGCACGAGCAGGGGCTGAGACTCGGTAGGATTCACACCTTCTGAATCACTGTCTTTCCCTGGTGTCTTTATAATGGATAGAGAAGTTACCAAACCAAAGGCCTAGGTTTGGGTTTTTGGTTTCGCAGAGTCTTTTGCCAGTGGGGTCATTCATGGGGAAGAGGGTGAGTTAATTAATCTTAGTGTTACTTCAGTGGTATTTCCATGACCTGTAGATGGAAAAATCTCAGATTTTTATTTTGTCTTAAAACAGGCAGAAAAATAAATGGGGAATAAAAAAGCCTTTGGGTACAGTACCAGTATCAACACCCATGAGAGCTAGAAGAGGAGGAGAGGGAGTAGAGTGGGGAAGGGAGGGGGAGACCTTCTCTAAACCTGTAACTGAGATGCAGCTCCGGACGAGTGGTTCAGCTTCTGGACACTCTTCCCTGCTCTTTTTTAATTTTCTTAATTCTCCACTCATCAGGAGACCGAGGGGCTGAGTGAATGTAAATGATTGGTTGTGATTCAGTTGAGTTAACTGGAGTTAAAATCTGGAATTATAAATAAAATATGAATGTCGGCATGCCAGATCATCTGTTTTTATCTCTTTTTTATGAAAATCAACTCTAGCTGTATTTATATATAAATAATATACTCTGTTGTTAACGCTCTTAAAAAAAAAAACCAACCACTTGCACTTTTTATTTTGTCTTTTTTCTCTTTTCTTCACCTCAGTGGCACGCATTATCCAGAGAAGAACAAGCGAAATACTATGAACTAGCAAGAAAGGAACGACAGCTTCATATGCAGCTGTACCCGGGCTGGTCCGCACGGGATAACTATGTAGGTTCCTATGTAGGTGGAAATTTTTTTAGTAGTAGAGCTTGT